GCAGTGGTCGGCAAGGGCAAAGGCGACAGAGCCTCGCTGGGCCCGTTTTGAGGCACTTGGATCAGCACTGACATGCCGGAACCGGCGGAGTGAGACGGGGACAGGCCGGTAGCTGCGGGGGCGAAGGCAGGGGAGGAAGCAAGGGAGGGCACCCCTGGGGCGGCCCCAGCTTCCCCTCCTTGACCGCTGCTCGCTTCTGAGGCTGTCATCGAGGTGGACGTGAGGAGGGGGAGGGGGAGGGGAGGTTCGTCTCCGTAGGCGCTGGAGGCGCGGTCCTTGTCGTCCACGTCGGCGGCCGAGGGGTCAAGCTGTGGGGAGGAAGAGGGAGAGAGTGAGACGGCGGTTACGGCGTACGGTGCCCCGCATGCGTGCGGACAGCATGCGAGAGCGTCCCTCCTCCATCGACTGGTCCGCAATACTCACCGGCACGTTCCCGGGGACCCGCCTTGCTAACTGGGGGGGGGGGTCTGGGCCGGACTCAAAGCTTGGAGAAGGAAGGGAGGACGAAAGCATGGGCGCGGGCGCAGAAGCCTCTCCATTGCTAGCCGTGCTTTCAACGACGGTGCCACTGGTGGTTTGCGCGTTCGAATCCATGAAAAATGTGCCTCACTCTGCCCTTTCAGTCTGTTGCATCAAAAGCCTGATTTCCCTCACGCCTCGCGCGGCTCCCAGTCACGTGCGATCACACGCCTAACAGTCGACGATCAAAAATGGTGCACAGTCGAGATGTGGACGCTAGTACAGGCGGTTCTTATCACAAATCCATTCCGAGACGGCGCTTTTTCGACTTCACCCTGACGGCCGTCCGGGGGCACCAACCTTTAGATCCCGCCCTGTGTGGCGAGAGGGTAGGAAGGAAGAAGTGAGGGAAATACACGAACGAATGATCGATCATCTCTACCCTCGGACAGTCACCCCTCTACGTAGGCCTGCCATGTCCCAAAGTGGTGTCTTTTCCCGCCCCGCGAAGCGTGATTGGATGCTTCTAGGGTCTCCAAACCGACAAAATTCGCGGTCAAATCCTCCAAAAACACAGGCACCAATTCTTTGCTACGATTTGAATCGTGTTGGTCTCATTTCAGGCATTTTTCTCGACGTTTGCTCACGTTGCCTGCACAAAAGGGCGCACGACAAGCACTTCAGGAACACTGGGGTTGCGTATTTTGATCTTTGCGGGGCCACAATGGCCCACCGGGCGAATAATATACCAGCCCACCTTCTGATGCCGTTCTTAAGTTTCCTGTGGAGGTGCCCATGACGGTGGAAGGACTCAATAGCTTCACAAATTCAAGTGGGAAGCAGCATGGATGAAGGTGCCACTCAGGTGCACCCCATGCCCCCCCCCTTCGTTCGCCGCTCCTCGAACGCCCCTTTCCTGATCTCTCCCCACACTGTGGTGCGCACACCAATCAAAACCATACATGTGAACGTATTGCCCTCGAGAGAGATATCAACCTCATGTACATGGTCTGGCGTAAAAATCGTCGAATTTAACTTGCGGGGCCAACACCCGTAAGGTGCACCAAAAAGCACGGCCAGGCATGATCATGGATGCCCTGCCTGCAACTTTATACATAGATAAGCACCGAACATCCCACTATCCAGAACACGAAGGACACAGCTTGTTAAATTGGGCCAAAGACGTGAAAGGGCACGCGGCGGCCTTGTCGATGCAATGAAAGGCTTCCAAACCCCGTCCGGGTCCCACTGCTCGCTGTTGCTATGGTTCAGGAGATGGGAGCGTTCAAATTTGTGGACCGAGAGCCCCCCCCTCTACAGCCCTTTGCCAAGGTGGAAACACGCAGGAAGTCTCCCGTACAACCTGCCGTAGTCTCCGCAAAGTGGACTGCTGAGGCTGCTGCGCGAGGGGCGATCGTCTGCGGGGGCTTATTATTCCGGTGCCCGTGATTTAATCTTGGAATTCACTGAACCCTTTCCACCTCTAGACTGGCGGCAGCAGCGCGAGGCAGCAATAGCCTCCCCACCCCTCTTCGGCCGCCTACCCCATTTCCTTTCCTAGCGTCAAAACCCTTCAAAAAACTGTAAATTTTATGGTAAGATAGAGAATCATTGATGCCTTACATCCGCATGAATATTCCTGAATTCATCAATAAAACTGGCATTTTCCATGAAAAGGCACCATCAAATGCTTCGAATGGCAGGCCTCTGGAGGCAGGTGCCACCGCGCTGGAGGCCAATCACGAGGACAGCATCTGGAGCCTCGTATGGACACCTGAAGGCCAGATTCTCTCGGGCTCCGTGGACGAAACTGTGAAAGTCTGGTCCATCCCCCCCGTTTCCCCTCCCTCCGCCTCGCCCTCTTCCCTTCCCCCGCCTCCCTCCCTCAGTCTTGCCCATACCCTCTCGGGGCACCGGCTTGGCGTCGTCTCGGTGGCTGCCAGCGGGCAACGGCCCGGCCTGGCCGTGAGCTGCTCGTTGGACTCGACGTTGCGTTTCTGGGACACTTTCAAAGGAGAGAAACTAGGTTTGGGTGACCTCAAGGCTGGAATGGGGGAGGCGTGGACGGTGGCATGGTCGTCTACATCGCCCTTGGTGGCTTCTGGGACGCAACGGGGATGCGTCAATTTGTGGGACGTAGGGGGTTTGGAAAAGGACGGCGTGGCGGTGCTGCCCTCGGCGCCTTCCATGACCTTACGCACGCAGGCTCCCAAGGGCGGTGGGAAGGAGGGCGGGAAGGAGGGCGGGAGGCAGAGAGGGCCGTTCATTTACAGCGTGGCCTTCGCTCCGGACGGGAAGCAAATTGCATGCGGTGGAAGCGACGGGGACATCCATGTCTTCGACGTAGAAACGGGCCATTTGCTCGCCACCCTCCCCGGCCACACCCAAGCTGTGCGGGCCTTACGGTACACCCCGGGAGGCTATGCTTTGTTAAGCGGGTCTGACGACCGACGCGTTCACGTGCACGAAATCAACGCCGGTTCCTCCAGGGGCCGGTCTCCCTCCTTGGTCTCGAGTTACGACGGGCACGCCTCCTTTGTCCTAAGCCTGGCTGCCAGTGGGGATGGGCGACATTTTGCCTCGGGGGGGGGCGACCGGAGGATTAATCTGTGGGACTTAGCCATGAAGGAATGCGTGCATAGCATCGAACGACACGGGGAGGCCGTCTGGGCTTTG